TTGACAAGAGACAGACAGACATATAGACAGACAGACAGACAAAAAATATAGTGAGGGAGACAAAGCGAGGCATCCCAGCATACTCTCCGCTGTGTTGCTGGTAACCAGTCGTTGTTATTTCGGCCTTTTACATGTTAATTAGGGTAATTACCTGCCAACCGGACACCACCTCACACCCCCTCCACCTACCCCCATCCCCCTCCCTTAGAACCCTCCTTCACCCCCCCCCTTTTCCCTCCCTTAGAACTCTCTCTTACCTCCCCCTTCCTCCTAAGGCTCCCCCTTCTCCCCCTCCCTCCCTCCCTCCCTCCAAAAACTCCCTCCACCCCTTCCCTCCATAAAACCCCCCTCCACCCCTCCCCTCCCGAGAACCCCCTCCACCCCTTCCCTCCCTAAGAACCACTCCACCCCGCTCCCTCCCTAAGAACCCCCCCTCCACCCCCCCCTCCCTAAGAACCCTCTCCACCCCCTTCCCTCCTCAGAACCCCTCCACCTCCCTCTCCTCCCCTCCCCCCCATTTATACTATATCCACCTCATCATGAACCTCTCCTTCCTCTCTCTTCCTCTTTATTCTTCACTTCCTTCTTATCTTACTCTTCCTATCTCCCTTCATACTTCCCTTCCTATTCATACTCCCACCCTCTTCCCCATCTAATTATACCCTCCCTCTTTCCCTTCGTATCCCCTCCTTCTTCTTTACCTCCCTCTTCTTCTTACTCTCCTCTCTCCTCCTCTTTCTTACTCTTCGTCTCTTCCCCTTTTTCTCCTTACTCTCCTCTTCTTTTTAACTCTCCCTTTCTTCCCTTTTTACTTCTCCCTCTTTCTCTTCTTCCTCTCCTCCTCTCTCTTCTCTCCTCTCCTCTCTTCCCCCTCTTTACTCCCCGCCCCCCTTTCCTTTCATACCCCCCCCCCACGGCTATCAAGTCTAACTTCGGCACACTTCTTCCTCAAAGGTCGTTAGCTCGTCTCTAATTACCTTCAAGGACAAAGTTAATGGTTGTTTGCCCCTTAATTAGCAATTAGCGGCAATAACAGTGATTGAAGACCGTCTCGTTTACATTAAACAACAGAAGAAGGAATTGCGTGTAGATGTTTTGTTAAGGGAGATGTTAACTTAATTTTTCTTTTTGTTTTTGTTTTAATAACGTAATTAGTCTTGAGATAATGATGCCAATGTTGTTATTTGCTGTACTGTTACACCTGGTACTATTAAATGTCTTTAGCACACGCGTGGAAAGACTCGTGTAAGTGTGCGTTCATTAGCGACACTTTGTCACTCTCTCGGGGTGATAGAACGAGCTGGCAGTCATGGTTCGTTGCGTTCAGGAGTGGGATATGTGCGTAAACTATTTTTTTCTTTTTTTTTCGCTCTTTTTTTTTCTTTTTTTTTTATCTTTTTTAGTTATTGCCATTCACTTTTATGTTATGGATACATTTATTATTATTTATTTATTTAATTATTTACTTTTATTTCTTTTATTTTTTATTTTTTATCATTTTATTTACTATTACTATAATATTTTTATTACTTTTATTATCATTATCATTATTTTTGCTTCTATATAAACAGATGGCTTTTCTTGCTTTGATTTAGACAGATGGGTAGACAGATAGGCAGGCAGGAAAGCAGATAGATAGATTGATAGAAAGATAGGTAGGTAGGTAGCAGATATGGGTAGGCAGTAACCGATAGACAAACAATTAGATAGATATAGAGATATATTGTTTACGTTTGCGCTAACGTATCTGAAATTTACCGCACTGATTCACTTAGATGTGAATCAGTGCAGGTTAAACTCTAGCATAACGGACCATCTAAATTGAGTTGAAAATTAATATGCTTGTATAAAGTTTGTCGAAAAAAGTATACACTCATTCAATTTATCTTTGTCTTTTTCTTTTCTTTCTTTAAGCATGAGGGAGTTTGTTGTGCTGGCAGAATTGGCCGAACAAAACAGCGCGTCATTGTGGGTTGCCTAGATGAGAAATGTCAACATTGCACAGATGGTGGAGATACGCGCTAGATGGTAGGGTAAAGAAAAATAGGGGGGGGGGGCGGGGGTTCTCTCTATTTAGTTATTATTCTCTCTCTCTCTCTCTCTCTCTCTCTCTCTCTCTCTCTCTCTCTCTCTCCTCTCTCTCTCTCTCTCTCCTCTCTCTCTCTCTCTCTCTCTCTTTTCTTTCTCTCTCAATGCGTATATCTATCTTTTCTATCCATCTATTCTTTCTATCTATCTATCTATCTCTTTATCTCTTCACTATTTTTTATCTATCTATATCTTCATCTTTTCTCTCTCTCTCTCTCTCTCTCTCTCACTCTCTCTCTCTCTCTCTCTCTCTCTCTTCTCTCTTCTCTCTCTCTCTCTTCTCTCTCTCTCTCTCTCTCTTCTCTCCTCTCTCTCTCTCTCTCTCCTCTCTCTCTCTATCTATCTATCTATCTGTATATTTATCTATCTATCTATCTCTTAATTTCTCTCTGTCTCTTACTCTCTCTCTCTCTCTCTCTCTCTCTCTCTCTCTCTCTCTCTCTTCTCTCTCTCTCTCTCTCTCTCTCTCTATCTCTATCTATCTATCTATCTATATCTATCCATCATCCATCTATCTCTCTCTCGACGATATCAATACAAAAAAAAAAAAAACAATCTATAAAAAAAAGAAGAATCAGACAATTCACACCACGCTGCCCAAAGGTAATCAAACCCCGGCGTGCTCTTGGCCTCTCCACCTCGAGCTCAAAGCGGTGAATAAATATGGCGCCGCGAAGGTGAATGAGATGAATAACGTGGTAGGGTCCATCTCGCTCGCTCGTCTGGTCTGTTCTGTTTTGTCTGTTTATTATTATTTTTTTTGTCTTTTTTTCTTTGTTTCTTTCTTTCTTTTTTATTCTTTTTTCTCTGTCTCTTTTTTCTTCTTCTTTCTCTGTCTCTTTCTCTCTTTTTTTCTTGTCTCTGTTCTCTTTCTTTTGTTATCTGTCTCTTTTTTTTCTTTTTCTCTGTCTTTCTTTTTCTCTGTCTTTCTCTTTTTTTGTTTTTTCTTTTTGCTCTGTCTGTTCTTTCCTTTTTTCTTTTATCTCTCTGCTCTCTTTTTCTTTTTCTCTTCGTTAGGCTCTCTCTCTCTCTGCTCGCTCGGCGTCTGCACTCCTACGTGTGTGGTCCCTCACTCTCCTCTCCTTCTCCTCTCTCTCTCCTCTCTCTCTGTTCCTCTATTCCTCCGTGCCTCCTCCCCTGCCGCTCTCGTCTCTGCCCTCTCCGCCTCGGTCTCTGCTATCCCTCGTCGCTCCTCGATATGCCCCTTACTATCTATCTATCTACTCTCTCTAGTCTTTCATTCCATTAATCCTATCTCTCTCTTATAATCGTCTCTATTCGTTCTCTCTCTCACCGCTCTTTTCTTTTAATGTTGTTCTCTCTATATATATCTATTTACCTATCTCTCTATTCAATTTCCTTATCTCTATATGTTTTGAACTTTATTCTCCTCTTTCTCTTCTAATCTCTCTCTCTCTCTCTCCTCTCTCTCTCTGCCTCTCTCTCTTCTCTCTCTCTCTTCTTCTCTCTCACCCACCCTCACCCACGACCCGCCCTCCCAGACCCTCCACGCCCCGCGCCGTCCTCCCCCGCACCGCCCCTCCGCCCCCCCCGCCGCGCCAGCGCCCCTCCTCCCCCTCCCCCCCCCCCCTCTCTCTCTCCCGTCCCTCCTCTCTTTCTCTCTCTCCCGTCCCTCCTCTCTCTCTCTCTCTCTCTCTCTCTCTCTCTCTCTTCTCTCTCTCTCTCTCTCTCTCTCTCTCTCTCTCTCCTCTCCCCTCCCTTCCCCTCTCCTCTCTCTCTCTCTCTCTCTCTCTCTCTCTCTCTCTCTCTCTCCTCTCTCTCTCATTACATAAAACGTATCCCGCCCATCACAAACGCCCACGGCATGTCACAGGGCGAGGGCGGGCGGCAACCCACGCCCAAATTGTCCCTGGAGTCAACACGTCCGGGCCTATCGGGCGTAAATGGAAAAGACAAATAGACGTGTTGAGAAGGTGGAGACTTTAATCTTTCTTTGCTTTTATTTTTTTTCTTTTTTTCTCTTTTTTTCTTTTTTCTTTCTTTCGTTTTCTCTCTTTGTTTTGTTCTTTTTCGTCCATGGTCTTTCTTTTGATCCTTCTTTGATTCTCGTTCTCTTTCTTTCTGTCGCTTTTCTCGTTCTCTCTCTCCTTCCTCCTTTGCTACCCGCCCTTTCTCTCTCTCTCTCTTCTCCTTTCTCCATTAACTCTCTCTCTCTCTCTCTCTCCCTCCCTCCCCCCCCTCCTCTCTCTCTCCCTCCCCTCCCTTCTTCCTCTCCTGAGACAAAGATGATATGAAGATAGGGGGCAGGGGCGGGGGGGGGGTAGGGAGAAGAGGGTAAAAGAGATTGATGAAGGTAAGGTTGTCTCTCGTTCTCTAAAATTGCAAACGAAAGAAAGATGCTCTCTTTGTCTGTCTGCCCTTCTCTCTCCTCTCTCTCTCTCTCTCTCTCTCTCTCTCTCTCTCTCTCTCTCTCTCTCTCTCTCTCTCTCTCTCTCTCTCTCTCTCTCTCTCGTCTTCTGCCTCTCTCTCTCTCTCTTTTTTGTCTGTCTGCCTTCTCTCTCTCTCTCTCTCTCCTCCTTCTCTCTCTCTCTCTCTCTCTCTCTCTCTCTCTCTCTCTCTCTCTCTCTCTCTCTCTCTCTCTCTCTCCACGTTTTTGCGAAAGTAAGTTGTATTAGGGTAGCTACTGTTTCCTTCTTTATCTATTTTCTTTTTCTTCTTTTTATATCTTCTTCTTTGGGTGGGAAAATA